ATCTGCTTGCAGAACTTGGAAAATAAATATGTCAGTAGGAAATCTTCTGGTGCCCAAAATTAAAAGTGAGTTTCTCTTCCCTCCCCAAGGATATCGTACTTGACAGATGTTTATACTGCTTACCCTGTGTAAATAAATCATGAGCTGTATTGAATGAGTTCATTTTTACTTATTTCTGCGTTTCGCAGTGCAGCCTTGCTAGTAGGATGAAATCCTGACAGCCCTGCTAGATTTCGGTGTTTTTTGTTAAGTTTGAAGGTCTTTGAGTGTGTATAAGGGTTGCATGGTTGAAGCTTGTGGGTGTAGTAAGAACATAGTTATCCAGCAGTGGCAGAATGAGGCAATGCTGGTATAAAATCCTTGAGAAAAGTATTTTCTCTTTAACTTTACTTTTTCCTTCTAAGAAGGAAAAGGTCTCTTTATGTGTGTTATGTGTACATATCTGTCAGTTTCTATATGCACTGCTCTGGATTCTGTGGGGTTGTGGGTTCAACTCTAAATGAAACAAACAGTGCATGTTGAATGTTCTTTTTTTGGGTTTGGCTGCTCTCCTACCTTGCTGACCCTAGGGTTGTGTGGTGGCTATGCAGCTCTGTCTGCACCACAGCATTTCTGTCTGGAGACCATGCTGTGGTATTTAACATGTGCCTGGGAGACCAGGAGTGCTGGACTGAAAGGATGGGGGGAAAAAGCCAACCCTGCTCTGGGACAGAAAATATATTAATGAGAAAAAACAAAGCGAGTATACAGGGAGAAATAAGCAAGCAATTATGTGGTACCTGACAATGCAGGAGGAACCTAACTTTTCCTGAAACTGCTGTCAAGTCAGAGTTACTTTGAGAGTTGGTTTCCTTTCAGGAGATAGGTAGCTGGGGGATGATGGTAAAAAGAAGAAGCATGGAGAGCATCTTCAAGGAGAAGTGTGCATGCTTCCTGGCATTTAGGTAGGAAGTAATTGACTGGTGACTGTTCTGTAGAAAATTTACATGGCAGTGGTGAGATGTTGAAAATGCTGATGAAGGTTTTGGGTTTTAAAGAGTCCCTCTGAACAATTCCCGGGTATGTTTTTCTAGGGTTGCTGTTTGTGACAGTCCTGCAGCTTGCTAGAGAAGCTCAAGGAAAAGTTTGAACAACCTCTCTGTTTGTTAGCTGAAGTAATAAGTTTGTGGCATCGATGGAGTTAGTGTTTTCAGTCCTTAGCCCCGTGGTATTTGACTAGCTATGTAACTTTACAGTTTAGTGATACTACATTATGATAAATTAACTGTCTCAATTAATCCTTTGCATTTATGAGTAACAATTTTTGAATCATTTGATTAGCCTAATTATTCCTGTGGATGTATAAGTGCCTCTGAGGTATTCTGATCATAAGTTAAATATAGATGAAACTTAAGAATGTCCTATAAGGCTGATGTAATGATTATGTTACATAGCTCTTTAAGCTGAGCTATGCTTATGCACTTAGAGAAATGAGAGCCAGAAGCAGACTGAAACTTTGAAGCTTTTCTGTGTTCCTAGTTATACTTTCAGAAGAATTGTGTACTTAAATGTCTTGAAGGTAAAGTTCCATGTTGAATGTCTGAGAGTTTTCTTAATTGGAATAACTAATTATAATAGATTTCAACAAACTATGCACCAAGCATACCTGCTTCAGGGTAGTGGTACAAAAATAGTTAATTTAACAGACCAGAAAACTATTGTGTATTTGTCAATTGTGGTTTCTGTCTTGTTGAAGTAATACAGACAAGATCATTAGCTTGAACTATTGCTTTAAGCTTCTGAGAAGCAACATACTCAGATTCAAAAGCATTGCTGTCCAATTATAAAGTTGGCTTTTTCCTTTTCACTTCTTTGCTTTGAAAACATTGTATTACAGGGACTGAATTTAAACTTACAATTTATTCCTGTTAGTGTCTTGTCCTTCCAGACTCTGAGCCACTTCAGACTAATAATAGGAACTTCATTAGAATTAGATTAGAATCAGCTGATGAAAATTTAATGCTATGATAGCATTTATATTGTTCCAACTCTTCCCTTGTTTCATGAGAAGCAGCATGAGAATAAGTAAGGTTTTTTTGTGTGTAGTGTGTGACCGCAATAGACAAAATTCTAACAGGCACATTCTGTTGGGGTGAACTAGCTGAAGGTGATTTGTAGCTCAACACTGCAGTATTAATTAGAGATCTTCATGACAGTGCAGTAGCAATACTGCCTTTGTTTTGGTAGATTGCTGTTCTTCATTCTCGGAAGAGAATGATGCACTGTGTGGTGACATCCGGAAGACTTAGAAAATACTGCATTCATGGTATTAGAATTGTTCCAAGTGTTTACTTTCAAACTAAGTGAGAAACAATCAAATATGCCAAATAAATCAACACTAGCATTTGTTTCTAGTGCTACTTCAGAAATGAACAGCAATTCTCTTTTAACAGCTTTTTTTCTAGACTGAAAGTCTAGTTCAACACAGCAATTCTTCAATTTATCCTGTTGGTATAAGGAGGAGTTATGTGGAGTTCAGATGATACCCTGGTTAGGTAACTTTGGGTCCCACAGTGGATACCAGATATCAAGTTCTTGTGTAGTTATGCAGAGACATTTTCAGTGCGAGTTTTGCCTTCCAGATATTAAGATTTGTGTACCTATTGAATAATGATTTCTGTATTGATGATGAAACAACAGGGAGAATGAAATTATCAGAATCCATGTTTCTTTCCATGTGAGATGAATGGATAATAGCATGATAGATAAAATCCATAAATTCTTAAACCAAATCATATCCTTCACTCAACTCTTTCTCATGCCTTTTGTTGGGAAGTTGCAGAATGAATAGGAGTTTGTTGGATTCATTCATGTGGAGTACAGCACATCCACATTTCTCCTTACACGACAGCCCCAGTGTGATCCTGACAGTGGGATCTGACTCCTGCCCTGGCTGTGCTGGCTGGGGCAGCTGTGCTGCGCAGCTGTGCTGCTGAGCATGTGGCAGGAGCAGCGAAGTGTGGGTGAAGCAGCCTGCTACAAGTTCTCTGGCTGCTACTCTGTTTCTTCTTCCCACACGCATTCGCAGTGTGAGTGAAGTTGAATTCTTCATTTTGGAGGAAGCCAGTGCAGATCTGATTACAAAACTAATGTTAATGGGAGAAGAGTTTGTGTGCCTCAGTTTTTCTTCCCCTCTTTCTGTCTTTTGAGCTACTTTAACAGATAATAGTACCTCTTGTATATGTGACATTATTATTTATGGCTCAGCTCTTTGTTTTGATCTCCTCAAGAGTCCTTTTGGAGAACCTTTAAAAATGGTCCACAGTCCTGCCGGCACATTCTTTTACATAATCTAACGTAATGACAACCTAACAGAGTAGATCTTTCTGTTTTTCTCCCCTAGATGGTGGGCTCAAATGGGTTTTTTTGTTCAGCTAGTTTTCATTGTACCCAAAGATAAGCATTCCTTTAAGTCTCTTGAAGTAATGGACTGTTATGTGTAACGTTACTCATTGTTCAATGGCACATGAATTTTCTAGTCTGTAAGTTTAGTGAATTCATAGGTTAGTTTTATATACTGATACAAAAGTGGAGGCATTTTAGGTGTTCATTAAGAGAGTACAGCTAAGCAACCTCTTTGCTGTCTGACATGATACATGCTATTTCTTGGTGGCATTGAATTCCCAATTCTTGTTCTGCATCTTTTGTAAATTGTAGTAAACTTAATATTGAAACAGTATAGTTTATTTTTCCCTTAAAGACAACAACTTGGTTTAAGTTTTTTTTCTTTTTAACAATGGCAGCTCATATGAAAAGTAAGATGATTGAGAGGAGAGATATTCCAGGGACAGTACTTGACTTTTCACTGCTCCATTCAGTTTCATACTCTTTAGTTCATTAAGCTCTTAAAATGCAATGCTTTATATTACATCATGATCACAGCTTTTGAAACACGATAATGAAGGGAGTGTAAGTGGACTAGGTATATAAAGTGGTTATAAGATACCTCAAGCAGATCTGAAAGCCATGGGATTTGTGAGGAAAGCATAAGTTCTGCAAACTTTGTTTGCATTTCACATTTGATGCCCATTTAAATTAATATATCATATATTTTGATTAGCATATTTCACAAGAGATTCAACATGTTTTGGGGTTAGAACTGAATGTTTTTAACTTATTTACTTGCTTTGTTTAGGTTCATCTGTATTTATTGGCTCTGTGTGTTGGTTCTTTCCCCCCATACCTTTCTATTTTAGCATATGTAGTCAGAATAATTTTCTGGTGCATGAGAAGTAGATTCTGCACCAGAGAATAACATGTTTGCTCCCAGTAATCTGTTAATCAAGCTTACCACTAAGGAAACAGACAGGTTCTGTTCTGTTAGGGATCCTTGGCAGAATGATGGTAGCTCTAAAATGTAGTTACAGGTAAAGCATTGTTTTCTTAACAAGATATTATGTTTACTACAGCAAAGAATTTTGGATTAGAATGGCACAGGATTTCTACAAACAGAATCAGTTTAGTACAATTTATAAATAGCGTAATACAGAATTTATAATATGATAACTTAAGATTTCTAATCACCTAGATCCTAACTCATGATTTCTCATCAACTAAATAATACAGAATTCATAATATAACTTAACTTACTATTTCTAATCACCTGGACCTTCTGCAGATTGGATCAAACTTAATATATTATTTGCTATATCAATATAACGATCATAATCTAGACTCAAAGATCGTACGAAAACACATGAGTCAGTCCTCAGAGAAAGCAGATGGTGGTGGAAGCATTCCTGGCCAGTGGGGGCCATGGATCTCACTGTCCAGAAGCAGTTCCAGTCCGAGTTCCCTGCTCAGAACTCATAACTGCTTGATTTTATGAACAGTGCTAGTACTCTGTGTGCTGTTCATCACCACCTGTGATGGGTTCATCACCACTACTGGGACCTGGGATGTTCAATCCTGGTAAGGAAGGGAGTAATTGCCCTGATGCCCAGGAATCCTGAGGTCAGTAGGGAGAGGAAGAAGAAATCTGTTGGGTTTGTCTACTTGATTCACAGGACCTTCAGGACCTGATAATAAGGGGAAAAGGAAGGGATATGTGGTGCTCTCAGTCACAGGGAGTAGCTGCTTGCCTTATAAAGTGGTGTCAGTTATGCTGACCACATTACAAGGTTTCAGGAGCAGGGGCTACCACTCACATTGGTCTTATCCTGACATTTCCACAAGGCAAATTCCAATTCTGATGAGTCCAAATACTGAAATAGTGGCAACTGTGGATTTTTTTAATATAAACATTTTTCACTTACAAATGACACTACTTATGAAGATATTTGAGATGTGGAGTAGAGCAAAAGGAGTTTAATCTTGGGTAGTATTGATGATAGGGGATTTGCTTAGACAGTCTAATTTGAATTGCTATAGTTTCCTTTCACCATCTATTTTTAGACAATTTGTCTGTTTTGCATGACTTGTCAGGGAGAAGATAAAGCCTGTTGAAAGTGGACTGCATTTGCTTAGGTTTTCCTTACCAGCTGTGGTGCTGATATTTCTGTGGCATGGGTTGCTTTTGAATGGAAAGATGCTTCCGTAACAGATCTGGAAAATAACTAGGCTCCCTATGAGCATGTAAGAATACTCAAGGCAATGAAATACTTAGTTAAAAGTTAATTTTTGTGATGACACATGCAGATGAGCATTAGCTGCCTGGACTTTTGGCATGACTCCACTTTCCTTTGCAACATGCCTACATTTTTCTTCTCGTGTCAAGTCTGAAGGTGTGATTGGAGTAAGTGCAGTTTCCTGTTCAAAGACAGGCAAAAGGAGAATTGTGTTTGCTGTTGGTTTCTGATGCACTTCTAAAAGTTGATCCTCAGCTTCATTAGCATGGTATCTTACCCAAAAGACTTGAATTCCTTTGTAGATACCTTCTTATGAGAAGGGCAAGAATGTATTTTTATGTGTTGTATCTTATTTTTGTGATTGCTAGGATAAAAGTTTTCCAGTGTTGAAATGCAGTGCTAAGCATGTCTCCTCCTGTGGTGTTGTCACTTTAAACACTAAACATGATAGTATAGGGAGATAAAACCATATTCTGCACTAAATACAGTATATTGGATTGGAAAACTGTTAAGGGAGCTGGGATACTAAATGTCTTGCTCCTGTATCTTCAGAGACAAAACTGTGTGCAATATGTGACATGACTGAATGGGGTAGCAGGATGTATTTCTCCAGTAGAAACGGCTTTACATCTACTTTCTCTTATTTCCTAACTAATTAGTTTGTGATTGGTAGTTATTTACTGTACTCTGATGCTAGAACTCTCTTTGTTCAAGAAAGTTGATACCCATTCTCATGTGCTTTTGGCAGAGAATTTTATTCCGTTTTGCAGATTTGACAGGGAGCTGTAACAGCACTGCATATCAAACCTCAAAATATTTTCTATAATTTTTCTAGGCAAAGGATCTGTTATAACCAGTCCTTTTACTATTTTGATGAGGAAATAGAATAATTAAAAAAGCCAGGTCATTCCCTCCTGCTTGTGGTTTTTCATGTATGTGGGGCTTTATTGCTGATTATGAATTCCCCTGCCTTTTTCTTTCTGTATGGAGAATATGATGTTTGGTTAATGCTCAAGCTTGCTGTATCTTAGCCTCAGTACAGGTTGACTTAATGCTTGCATATAAATTTTCTTGGAGATTTTCTATAATTCATAATAATTTTGACATGGGCGTTTAGGCTATTTCTCTAAGACTTCATTGGGATCACATAAGTATTTTTAGACCATTAGCGTATTTGGAGAGGTCTTTCTGGATTGTTTTTGAAACATGCTTTTAAAAAGCAGTATGGGATAAACTAGACCTCAGAGACTTTGTGTGAGCTAATCTCCCTCAAAAAGGTAAATACAATAAATGAATAACCCAGTGATTCCATAGCCATAATGGTGATGTTTTTAAATGTCTAACTGCAGAGAAAATGAATTTTGTGTATCTCAGTGAAGAATTAAAGAGATTAATTGTTCAATGATGAAAATGCAGAAGTAGCAGTTCTGTGTGGGCATGGATTTCATAGAACACTTAGTGTTCTTGAACTGAATTATGACATAAGCCTAATGGCCAGGATAAAGAAAGTGAGTTGTAAGGGGAGATATTTGATCCCAGCATGAATTAAGAACACAAAATGAGTACGAATTGTTAGTAAATTGTACTTACATGATTATCATGAAGTTCTTAAGAACATAGGTATTGATGTCATGTGAAGATGTAAAGGGAAATCATGACTTCATTCTCTGTGAAGAGTTTCAGAACGATTTAGAGTTTTGTGTAGTGATCTAAATGAGCTATAATCAGCTGATTTGTAACTTAATTTTAATCAATGGAACTAATACGAAAGAAAGTGAGTAATACTGAAAGTTGCCTGGAGTATAGTGGGGTAAAAGCAAGAATCCAAAAGAAATTAAAGGTTCTTTGTTCTCTGTTTCTTAACCAAAAGTACTGTTTTGCCACCAAAAGAATTTATTCTTTCAAAACTGATGAGACTTGTTCTGCCCAGTGCTGCTATGGAATATTTTGAAGTGCTGATCAATTCATAAGATATTTTGTAATACTTGAAACATGCTACACAATATTGCATGCAATAAATGGCATATACAACATAATTTTAAAACTTATATATAAACACAGATGCTTTGTATGTTACATAAAAAACTCATGTGTTTTTATGAGTGGAAACCTAAGTTAGATTTGTGTAGGCCCAGTTTGTGTGCACAAATGCATTCTGTTCTATGCAAAAGGAATTCTGTGGTTATACATTTAGGGGACTCTTCTTTAGAACTGAGCTGTTTTGAGAGATTAAACAGAAATACTTTAATAGCTGCTTCATCCATTTTCATAGATTTTATTCTGTTCAGTATTGACCTTTTACAGTTAGTTACAATTTAGTCTTGGATTTGAGGCTGATTTAAACTTTGCGTCCACTGATCAGCTACATTTAATAGGAGGTTTCTGTGTGTTGGGGGAGCAGAAGAGGTGTCTAAAAATGCAGATGGTATAGATTGGTATGTAAGACTTTGTATAGATTTCTGAGATAAGGTATTTAGTGTTCTCCAATTGCAACTGCTGTCTAACCTTTCAGATACTAAGCTGACAAGAAAACCTACCATTATCAACAAGTTACATCCTCCTCTTCAATGATTAGAACCACTGGAGTGTTGAGGAAGGTCTACCCAATGAATGCAGCAATCTTTAAAAGAGGTTTGTGTTGGAATACTGTAGCTACTAAAAAAATAAATCCCACTGAGCTACTAAAAAAAAGGTTTGATAAATCATTGTGATCTAGTGAGGCTACTAACTTTTGCTTTTAAGGAGAAGAAGAAAATTGAAAAGTAATCTTCTAGGTCTGTTTCAAATGCAGTTACTGTGCAGTGATGTGTGAAAATCTCAGACCTTTATAAATAATGGAATAAATGAAGTGTCATCCTTGTATGAAGGATGTGTGCAATCTGCAAGTGATAAGGTTCAACCATCTCACATCACTCTCTATCTGTTGGAGACTTGAGTAGTGGAGAGTAGTTAAAACTTAAATGTTAATGTCAGTTGTTGATCACATTTATTCACATATCATTCTTCTCTTTGCCAGCTAGAGACAGGTTCTGCAAAGGTTAAATTCAAAGTAAAAAAAAAAGAAAGAGAGAAAAAATACCTTTATGCCAGATCTAGAAGAACTTGAAGGAACTTGTTTAGATAAGCTTAAATCTTGGATGACTATTTGTGGGTTTTCACGTGCTTTCTGTGAAGCATGTGCAAAACCGAATGCAGAATACTGCTTTAAGGTTATATCCTTTCAGAAGAAGTGAAATGTGGCCATATGTAGTAGCTCTTAAGAAGGTTTCTATTGCATGAACCCAGATAGTTAAAAGCAATTCTAATGGCTTTGTTGCATTGAGGGCAGGATGGTAGGGAGTGCATAGTTTGTAGCATGAAAGGACAGGTTAGCTGTAAGGTCATGCTTGCACTAGAGAGAAGGATGGCAGCAAAAACACAAGGACAAGATGAAATTCTGACCTGTTGTCCTTTGTGAAAGGGGAATGGTAGGCATCTTGATGAGGTCTGAAATTGCATTATTTCACTGCTGCCGTTTGAAACTGGCAAGGAGGATTTGTCTGTAGCAGGAGAATGACTTTTCCTGTAGTGGAAAAACCCTGTTATTCTTACAAAGCTGTTTTTTTGAGTCTGACCACTGGTAATCCTTTTGTTTTGTTCTGCGGGAGACAACTGGATGTAAAGGCTTCATATTTTACCTGGCCTGAGCTTTCATTATACTTTATCAGTAGAGACTGGATGCTAAAACCAGTCTGTGCTTTGGTTGTGGTGTAGTTAGTATTCTCTGCTGTGAGGGTTTTGGAAGGCTCATAAGGCTCAGCATACTTGAAGTCCTACCTTCTGACAAGGAATGCTTGACTGTAGTCTAGTTTATGCAATAATTTTATGTGAACGTAATTTGTTATGTGAAATGGTTGCCTGTGAAAATTCAGTTTCACTGTATGATAGTGCATGATTTCTGTAGCCTGTTATGTCTCAACTGAAATGCCTATCTGGTTTCTAACCTCCACTCCTCTGGAACATTTCACGCTTCTACTTGTTTAGTAGAAGGGCATCTCTTTGTGGATGCAAAAGGAGTCTTCTGACCAGATGTGAAAGCTGCAGATTTTCCTTATTCCTATCCCTGTTTGTTCACCTTAGGAGCCAGAGAAGGAGAGGGGAACATCTTTTAAGAGGAAGGAGACATATAGCCACTAAGTGCCTGGCTCCTACTTCAGTACTTGAAACTGCTTTTTCAAATTGGTTTTATATGTATGCAGGTCTCACTGAGAATGCAAACTCACAGATTGACTTTACTGTCAAACTACTGTATGGTGTAGAGTATTCAAACAAGAGAAAGAAGAAGGCAGGTATACTGACTTTATTCTAAACTTAGACAGCTTTTTGCATTGTCAGTGCATCATATTCATGTGGCAAAGAATATCCAATTTCAAGTCATCTCTGAGAAGAAAACATGGGAATATGTACTTTTTGGTAATCTAATTTTTCTGATATGTTTTAAAGTGTTACTTAATGTCATTTAATTTGAGGAAGCAGTGAAGATTTCATCCTGGCATTGGGTGAATGATTTTTCTGTGTGCTTTGTCTGTCTTTATGTGGTCTTTGTATATGAATCTGTTTTGAAAGTGAAGGTGATCTTGTTTGTTTCCTACAAGTAGATAAAATTACTGCCATAGATGAAAAAGACAGATAAGGGACATCTTGGCCTTTGTTCCTCTATACTTAATAGCTAAAACTTGGGGTTTCTTCCCCTGCCTCAACCTACAGTTGTATAGTCAGAGTAAAAAGACGGTTTGTGTCTCAATGTCTAATGAATGAGAAATTCATTAAAGTGATGTTGATGAGTCGTACCTGAACTGAATTGTGCTGACTTGGTGGTTCCTTCCTTCTTGTTTAAATTCTCTTAATTCTTTTATTACTTACATTATTGGAATTTTAAAAGGCTTTGTTCTGTAAGCAGACAGAACAGGACGTGTCAATATTTGTCTGTGACCGCATCCTGCAAAAACATGACTAGTTAGTCCTGTGAGACTTTTTTTTTTTTTTAAGATGAGCTCAGAATTTTGTCATTGAATTAATACACAGTTAAAAAGCTTTGTGATTTGAGTGAAAATGTCATGTGAACCAACAACACATGAAAATAGCTAAGCAAATAGCAATTAAAACACGGACAATAACTTTCAGTCATGAGGTATTGTCGGTGCTGTTTTCAGATGTGCAGAGGGAAAAGCTCTCAATTGTTCTTAAGTCGGCTGGTAACTGAATCCACGTTTGTAGAGCTTGACAACAAAAGGCTTTTTGTTCACAATTTGTATTCATCTAGGACATGCCAAATAAATAGAACAGAGTGTATAAGCAGGCCAATATAACATGTTGCTAGATTCATGACTTACCAGAAATCCATAATTTATATTAAAATATTTAGAATTACAGGTAGAAGCTACCCGTGGGGGGACTTTAGATTTCTGCATGAATGAGCATGATGCAATTACTTTGAGGAAGCACACACTGCTGTATTTGATGTGGCAGCAATATATGCAACCCAAGCAAAACTCTTTCTGAATATTACTTGCAATCATTTGATTAATTTAGTGAGGCAGTATATACTGGGGCAATGCCAGTGGGTGCTTGATGAAAGTAGCAACCAGGCCTTTTACTCCTGTTGTTCGCAAATAAAACACACTAAAGAAAATAATTCTGTTGCTTTCCCCAAGATTTGTTGAATTCCCCCAGGCTGTGTTACCAGTGTAGTTGTATGACCATATGTGGTTTGTATGCCAAGCAAACATGATTGACTTTCTTTGCTGGGCCATTCAGCAACCTGTATCTTCTCACGGTCGGTGTCATACTTGTGCTTCCCATGTTCTTTATAAGAATCAGCATGTTTTTTGTAGGATGTTACCATAATCATGATGAATGAGCAGGAGCACTGGTGGAACTATAGAAGATTTGGCATGTACAGTTTTTGCAAGATTTTTCTGTTCGTTGCATTGTGGGAACAAAAACCTGGTTAAACAGGGATTGACCTGAAAGAACAGAAAGAAATAGCATTTGATAAAGCACATCCCCTGCCTTGTATAATGCTTTAAATCAGCTGTGCAGGTCATGGTTGTGTTTTGATAAATGAGCACATCATTCTAAGTTGTCGATTAGGGTTTTTGTGGTGTATGAACAGAAACTTTGAGGTTTTTCTTCTCCATCTGAGAAGTGTGCAAGACGTCTTGCTAGTGGAAAAATACGCACATAGGGAAAGCACTGAAAAAGGATAAAGAGCAGATTTTAAGTTCTTTGTCAGTGTGGGGTTCTTATGTTGGTTACTGGTTTAAACTCCTGTTATATTGAGGCTGTTCCTTTTCTGCCCTTTTTCAGGTAGTGGTGCTACAGCAGTTGTCCAGGCAGCACTATGCAAACCCAGGCAGGAACGTGTAGCAATAAAGAGGATCAACTTAGAAAAATGCCAAACCAGTATGGATGAATTACTTGTAAGTAAATCAAGGGGCAATATATTACATGGAGCCTTACCTTCTGTTTTGCTTTTCTTTTTTGCTTGGTCCAAGAAGCAGGGTAGCGTTTTTTGCAAGATATGAGAGAAGCATTTGAAAATAATCTGAAATACTTATACCCTTCCCTAAAAATGAAATTTACTAATGTATATTTTCTAATGTCATGAAACAAGATGTGCACACTTGAATCTTGGGATAGCCAACTCTTGAGAACTATGGGAAGAACCTAACCCCTTGTTTTCTGGAGACTCCGTTTTCAAGAGATGACTGTCTGGTTGTCTGTCTTTTCTTAATGCTGAGGAAAGATACATTTTCCTTTAGTTAAACACTGATTAGAAACACGAAGGTAAAATTTAGTAGGTCTCCTAAAAATGTTTAAACCACCAAAACATGTTGGATCATTTTGTAATGATAACTTTTAAGGAGATAAGTAGGAATGGCTACACTGCCATCTACACAAGGAAACTCTTGTTAAAGCTAATAACAGGCATTTATCCGATAGGCCATAACAAGCTGTTTGAGGAATGCTATTTGTATGGGTCACTGATCAGAGAAGAAAGGGGCCTGTAAGAGGCCCTTTGTAAAGGAGCTGCAAGAGTTTTTCCTCTGCGCTGGTTATGGCAATCCAGACAAAGTCACAAAGAACTGTTAAAAAACTGAAACCTATTGCATTCTAATGCTCCTAGTCAGGTGATTAAAAGACTAATGCATATTTATATATAGGCAGCATAACAAGGTTTGAAGGACACAAAACCATTCTAAAAGTGAGAACACTCTCTTCTGTTCCACAGGTTATACTACTGCCTAGAGACTGTGGGCTTTTTCTAATGCAGAAATTCCTGCCTCTGAAGGAAATGATCTCCTCAGCAGGGAATTGCCAGTGCAAAAGATATCTTGAATTTGATACAGAGGGTATGGTCCATCCAGTTTCTTCAGATAAAATGGCTTTTTTACAGTGGAGGACCCAAAATGCTCTTCCCCTGGTGATTGATGGCATTCGCCTTCAGTTTATGTGACAGCTTGTATGCAACATTGTGTTTTTTAAGAGAGTTGTGGTAGTGGAAGCTTCTTCTGAGGTAGTGAGAATTCTGTCAGCTAAAAACACAAAAGACGAATTCTGAACTGTATTTAAAGAGGAACAGCTGAAGGTGAGATGCTGTGCATGATGTATTGACATCTACAGTCCACAAAGAACATTTCTGTAAAAAGATAGATACTAATAATTGTAACATAAAATGGTCAAAATTGGATCTTTTTGGTTAGAATTTGAACTAATAATGGTAATTGACTATTAAAACGTTATAAACCTAAACAAAACTGCCAAAATTCTGCAAGAGATTAATGTGGTTTAGAGAAATAAATGGCTGCAGTTAGTTACCAGCTTGTACAAAGTTACTTTAGCAAGTGCTTAAGTATCTTTACTGTTGACATGTCTCCACTCTGTCAAACGAGGCAGTAGGTCTTGAATTTTTGGTCCCATACTGCTTTCTTTTGGTATGAAGACAACTGTCCATGCCATTTTTTTTTAAACATAAGCCAATTTCTGCTTTTCTGTGCTCAGATTTTGTGTTTCTTTTATTTGTTGACCTGTTTTGATCTGAACATAAATTCTGTTTTTCTTGGTTAGAAATGTTAAAGAAGGCATATGCAAATGTGTGTGCATAACATACATAATTAACTTTTTTGCTGTGAGGGTCAGTATACTTACTCTGACTCAGTTCTAACAGAGAGATTTTAAAACTTTGTTTAAAAATATATATGTTTTCTTTCTGGAAAAGGGTATGTTTGACCTTCAAAACTCGTTACAACTGTACTAACATTTTTATTTCATTTGATAATACTTACAATGCTCTTGTATTTTGGGCAGCTTTTGCGTCTAAAAAACACATTTTGAGTCTAGTCAGTTTTCAGTCACTTATGTTTTTTTGCTGAAACAGTTTCTATTGGCACAGGTATGTTCTAAAACTCTCTGCTCTCTGAACACAGTGTTTTGTAAAATGCTAGTGCTGGGTGCTTACGGGTGGTGTGCACAGGCACCCTTCACAAATCTCAGCTGTGTGGCCTTCAGAGAGGTGGAAATGCAGCAAGCCTAGTGCCCACGTCAGCAGACTTAGGATTTGGGCCAGTGTCAAAGTAGAAAGGCAGTGTGGGAGAGAGTTTAAATAATACTAAGGTTACACAAACTGCCAAACTCCTGAAATTCGATACTCTGTTTCCTGCAATGTCCTGTGTTCTCACTATTGTAAGCTAAGTGTAACTTAACCCCCTGAGCTAAGGAAAAAGGTTCCTGTCCTTGGTATTGCCCTGACTGGGTATCTTCCCCATCCTCATACATCCGTTATTAAAAAACAATCAAACCCTCAAAACTACAGACCAAAGACTTTTCTATGGAATGGTTGTTTTATTGAATAGATTTTTCTAAGCTCTTTGTGTTTCTGCTCTGGATTGTCCTTGGAGGCAGCTCCCTGGAGGAGTCTCTGGCCTGTTAGGCACAGCCCCTCGGGCAGCCATACCCAGGTGTTGGGGGAGGAAGCCCTAGGGAAGCACCTGTAGAGTGGCAGCACCTGCCTCGTCACCGGGAGCTGGACCTGGCCCCATGGATGCTGCAGCTGAGCACTGGAAGGAGATGCTTCAGAGTTGCTTATTAACTGTGTCAACCACCTGCCCTCAGGCCGACAGACATTTTTGTGCAGCTGCTCAGTGAAACTGGATCAGGAATAGCCTGGCTGAAGAAGTTAGCTTTTAACCTGGGCTTATTGCCTGTTATGGTGCACAAATGCTTGTGCTAGAGCAAGACAGGGAGAAACAGAGGGATGAGGGAGACTTAAAGTGCAGTTATGGCTTTGGTGCTGTTGAGTGTCTAAGGTGACGTGGATGTGAAGAAGGCTCCAGGGTGTTCTCCTGGATGTTCCACTGCAAGCTGTTTCCCTGGCAGCACATTCTAAATGGATGCTTTTCTCTCTCATCTGTGCATATCATCAGCCAAATAACTGAAGTTTGTGGAGGCTTACCATTCTGTGTGTGATAGAGGCTTTCTGGAACTGCAAGTCTGAAATTAATTCTTTCCTGACCCCTTATCTCTCATGGGGTGCTTTCTGTTTGTTTATTTTTGTTTTGCAAAGGCTCCCTGCAAAAAGTCACCAAAGCTGACACACAAGGTGCCTTTGGCCATGGTTACTGTGGTATCCTTGGTTTTTGCTCGTGAGCTGATGCAGGCAGATAAAATATTCAAAACACTTCTCAGTTAAAGATAGTGAAGCTTATCCCAGTCAATTAGTTACATCTCTGCATTATTAATGTGTTAGAAAAATAGATGAGGTGCATTTTTTGCCCAGTTAGCGGCAGGTGGACTTTTTGAGCCATTGTTATATTACCAGCATAGGAAAATAATAAAACAGTGTAAGAAATTAAATAGTAATTAGGAGTGGGAGAGTTACAGTTGAGATTTGGAATGGGTAGCTGAATTAAGAACCTGAGGCAGTAATATGTCTTGTGTTTAAGATGACATGCCTTTTAGGAGAGGGGAATGTGCCCCACATGTCTGTCTTCTGTTTTTCACCTACTGTCTTTCAGGGAATGCAAGGGAGCTATCGTGCAAATTGCTCTTATTATTCAGGTATTCTTTTTTCTGTGATTCAGGGCTCAGAAGTTGTCTAAGGAGGAAGACTTCTGACAACAGGACAAGCTGAAATGTTTGTCAGACTATAGCCTGACTATCATGATTATCAGATGAAATCACAGTTTTTAGTATGTATAATTAAGTTTTTATTAGAAACCAACTGTGATTTTGAATGCATTGCAAATAACAAAAAACGTCTTTCAAATACTTGCTGAATTGAGGCTGAAAGTTGAAAATGGCATTTGTGGCAGCTTTAATCCACCTAAGTGAGATCTGCATAGTGCCTGCCTTGCACAAGTGCTGGTGAGTCAAAGTGTAACACAGGTCCACCTCAAAGCAGTTGCCTTTCAGGGAGGGAGGAAAGGTGAAGGAGTTTGGTTTTCAGCTGGATTTGCTCCCTGCCTGGTTCACCCTCTAGGAGCATGTCTTCTGTCACTGGAGATGTGTGGCCAGAGGTGGAGAGGGAGAAGTAGGACTGGGAGCTTAAGTTGGTGTGAAGCCAAACCCTCTGGTACAAGGGAGGGCTAAATGCCCCTATGTGAAGCACTGGCAGAATAAGAAAAGCTGCCAGAAAGGTGTTACAGAACAATTATGTGAAAGAGTGAATAGAAAAAGACTCTGCTTTAATTAACAGATACAAGGCAGTCATTCTTAATGTGTACAGCTGTGGCATGTCATAGATGGTATTACTTGGTAGTGCCATGTTATACATCTGTTGGTGACTGTGTGCTCCTCTAGTCAATTGTTTCCTCTAACCTTTGGTCTGTAACACTGCTTTTTCTCCACTTCTGTTTGATTGTGTGGCTCTGGTGTCCACCTGTTGATCCCACAGTAGCTGAGCCAGTGGTTCTATGTCCTTTGTCCGACAGCTTCCTTCCTCTTTTCCCGTCTGCTCCCATATTTTTGAACAGGAAAGGCGGTAGCTTTTGATCTTTCCTTGCATTTTGTTGTCCAGTCTGTACCCACATCTTCAGCTCTTGGAGACAACTCATTCTTCATTGTTCACTGTGAATTTGAGACTTTAACAGTAATTTCTTTGCTGTTCTCAGAAGAAAAGTGATGTAGCTATGCCTGTAACTCCTGGCCAAGCCTCCCTCATGTTCTTTGCAATAATGTTTTTTCTTGCATGCAGATCTATAGGTAAATTGAAATGTTTTAATGCCTTGATGCATACTCTGTGCATACTTTTGTTCTGTTATAGTATTTCACTTTGGAAATGAAACTTTCTCTCTATGCAAGCAAAACTGATAGCTGGCTCTGTTACGCTGGGCTTTGTATTTCTTACAGAAAGAAATTCAAGCAATGAGTCAATGTAATCACCCCAATGTGGTGACCTATTACACATCTTTTGTGGTGAAGGATGAACTGTGGCTGGTTATGAAGCTATTAAGTGGGGGTAAGTTACTCGTTTTACTTGTTTAGCTGCAGGGAATTTGTATGACTTTTTTTTTTCCTAATGTACCTTCTTTGAGTTAATTGACCTAAACCAAGTAACACTACAGAGGGTGAACCTAGAGATGTAGGTGTGTTATAGCAGGACTTTGCAAGTTTAAAAAGTTTGTATATATGTAACATTCATAGTACAGGCTAAGAATTTCTAAGATACAGTAGTTACATGAACAGAATTTAGTTTTTGTTCTAAACC